CCCCATGGTCACCGGAACTACTAGGACATGTTTTATCTGTTCCTGCTAAGTGCATTTCAGCTACACCATCTCAGGCTTATTCACTTGCTCATCTTCTAACCTTGTGTATGCCATTAAATGCCAACAATGTCCTTCAGTCCTCTACATAGGAAAAACAAGTCAGACCCTATGCCAAAGGATACATGGACACAAATCTTACATTAAAAATCACAAAACTGAGAACCCAGTAGGAGAATATTTTAACCTCCCAGGACACTCAGTGAGGGACCTCAAAATAGCTGTTTTATTGCAAAGGAACTTCAGAAACAGACTGGGACAGGAGACTGCTGAACTATAAGCTATTACAACACTCAGGACAATGGAACCCCCAGGACTTAACAGAGATATTGGCTTCTTATCTCATTACACATGCTAAATCACTCAGTTCTCACTTATACCCAGAAATCAGACTATTGGTCTTAAAAGTGCCACTGGGCTCAAACTTAGTTCTTACATCTGCTATTAACTATTTTTATTGTCTGTATGCCAATTTGTTGTCAAGAGAACACACCAGTCATAGTGAACACCCTTTCCCAACAACCTAAGAGGCGACTCTACACATGGACATCACCAGATGGGCAACATCGAAATCAGATTGACTATATAATTTGCAGTCAAAGATGGAGAAGCTCTATCCAGTCAGTAAAAACAAGACCTGGAGCTGACTGTGGTTCAGATCATGAGCTATTCTCAGAGTGGCTCACAAACTCCTTTCCCTTCCTCTCCCCACAACAGACACCCCGGGGGGTGGGTGGGGCTGAGAGAGCTCTTGACAGAAACTGCTCTTTTTCAAGGACAGCTCTTGTCAGAACTACGACATGCCCAAGGTCATCCAGTCAGGTGCAAGCGGAGGAGTGGGGAATCAAACCCGGTTCTCCCAGATTAGAGTCCGCGCACCAAGCCACTGCACCAAAGTTAGTTGCAGTTAGTTCCGTGTCCAAAGCATACAAAGGGGCACATCAACCAAAAAGCTGTTCTGGCCATTTTCGGGATCTCAAGATCACAGATCTGAACAGGAAACAGCTTCAGAATCGGAAAGAATCGGAAAGAGACTAAACCCACAAGTTTTTCCAAGGAAATTGCAGGTCAGGGGTCCCCATCCCTTTTGAGTCTGCAAGGGGGCACCTTTGGACTTCTGGCACGGTGTGTGGGGTGTGTGCCAACAACACAGTGGCTGCGTCAGGAGGCGGAGCCAGCCGCCCGGGCGGTGGCGATACAGCTGCAGGGCTTTCAGGATGACCCTTCCGCATTAGATCCCTTCCAGTCCGGCTTTCGCCCGGGACACGGGATGGATACAGTGCTGTTTGCTCTCACTGACGACCTCCGGAGGCATCTGGATCGGGACGGTTCGGCAGTACTGATGCTGTTGGACCTGTCGGCTGTGTTCAGCACGGTCGACCATCCGTTCCTGACCCACCGCCTCGCCGACGTGGGGATACAGGGGCTTGCCTTGCAGTGGCTTCCTTCCTTTCTCCAGGGTCGGGGACAAAGGGTGGTGCTCGGGGAACACCACTCCAGGAGACACCCGCTTGAGTGCGGAGTGCCTCAGGGGGTGGTGCTTTCCGCGATGTTATTTAACATCTACCTGTGCCCTCTTGCCCAGATTGCTCGGAGGTATGGGCTGGGTTGTCACCAGTACGCTGATGACACCCAGCTCTGTCTGATGTTGGGCGGCCAGTCGGACTCCGGACTGGAAGATCTGGACCAGGTACTGCAAGCTGTGGCTGGTTGGCTCAAACCGAGTCGGCTGAAGCTAAACCCGGCAAAGACGGAGGTCCTGTGCCTGAGTCGGGGCGGTTTTGGGGATGGGGATCCTGCTCCCAACCTTCGATGGGGCACAGTTAGTGCCAGCGCCGGAGGTTAGGAGTTTGGGAGTACTCCTGGATCCCTCCTTAACAATGGAGGCCCAGGTAGCAGCCACTGCTAAGTTGGCCTTTTACCACCTTCGGCTCATCCGGCAGTTAGTTCCCTTCCTCGATTGCGATGACCTGGCTACAGCGATCCATGTGATGGTCACCTCGAGATTAGACTACTGTAACACTCTCTACGTGGGGCTGCCCTTGTCGCAAATCCGGAAGCTGCAGCTAGTGCAGAACGCCACAGCCAGGCTTTTGATGGGTCTCCCTCCATGGGAGCACACCCGACCTGCGCTGAAGATACTGCACTGGCTGCCAATAGCATACCGGATTCGCTTCAAGGTGATGGTGCTTACCTTTAAAGCCCTATATGGCCAGGGTCCGACATACCTGAGGGACTGCCTTTCCCCATACATACCCCAGAGAGCACTACGGTCAGGGTCACAACATCGATTCATTATTCTGGGCCCTAAGGATGCCAGGCTCGCCATTACTAGGGCCAGGGCCTTTTCAGTGGTGGTTCCTTACCGGTGGAATGAGCTCCCAGGGGAGACCAGGGCCCTGCGGGACGTTTTACAGTTCCGCAGGGCCTGCGAGACAGAGCTCTTCCACCAGGCCTTCAACTAGGAGCCACCCACCACTAGCACCAACTACCCCTATTATTAACATCTGTGGCAAAGGGCTGGCCCCAGCTTGGAGATCGAACCCCATCGTCGCGGGAGACGGGACGATCGCTGAGTCGGGAACTTTGCTGTTGCATTTTAAAACACGCCGCCTTATCTTAATGAAGGAACTACTATTACTGCGAGCACTTTAATTGTATGATTGTTTTTAAAATGTTTTATGTAGACTTGGTACACTGTACCGATCAATGTAAGCCGCCCTGGGCCTGTTCGCGGAGAGGGCGGGATAAGAATGCAATCAATCAATCAATCAATCAATCAATCAAATGGCTGCCACAACTTAACCTTCAGTCGCACGGTAAAGTTCCCTGTGCGGTGGAGGTAGCTCCTGGCGAAGCAATGCTCTTAGATATCTCCACAGCCCATCAGATCTTCAGTGGCCAATCAGAAGCCTTGCTGAGCAAAAAGCCCCACTGGGCCCCGCCCACTTTCTCACAATACTTGGCGGGCGCCCCGGCGCCCATGGGGACCACGTTGGGGACCTCTGCCACTCTGAGAGAGCCAGTTTGGTGTAGTGGTTAGGAGCGCAGACTCTAATCTGGGAAAACCGGGGTTGATTCCCCACTCCTCCACATGCAGCTGCCAGTGTGACCTTGGGTCAGTCACAAGTTGTGTCAGCTGTTCTCTCAGGAGCAGTTCTCGGGAGAGCTCTCTCAGCCCCACCCACCTCACAGGGTGTCTGTTGTGGGGAGGGGAAGGGAAAGGAGATTGTCAGCCGCTCTAAGACTCCTTCGGGCAGTGAAGGGCGAGGTATAAATCCCTCCTCCTCCTCCTTCTTCTCTGAGAGCTCTCTCAGCCCCACCTACCTCACAGGGTGTCTGTTGTGGGGAAGGGAAAGGAGTTTGCGAGCCGCTCTGAGACACCTTTGGGTAGTGAAGGGCGGGGTATAAACCCAATCTCTTCTTCTTTTACCTCCCAGGGTGTCTATGGTGGGGAGGGGGAGGGAAAGGAGTTTGTGAGCCGCTCTGAGACACCTTTGGGTAGTGAAGGGCGGGGTATAAATCCAATCTCTTCTTCTTCTTTTACCTCCCAGGGTGTCTGTTGTGGGGAGGGAAAAGGAAAGGAGTTTGTGAGCCGCTCTGAGACTCCTTCGGGTAGTGAATGGCGGGGTATAAATCCAATCTCTTCTTCCTCTTCTTCTTTTAAGTCTTGTAAAAAGGTAAAGGAAGTGGAAAGGAAGGAAAGGGGTGTCCGATTGGAACTTCCCATGAACTTGTGGCTTCCCTCCAAGCAGGGGCAGAGAGACAAGAAGGGAAGCCGGGAAGCCTCGTTGGAAAGAAAGGGGCCGTACCTCATGAGCAAAACGCCGTCTATTCAAGACAAGCTACGTAAGTCCAAAGCCAGGGTGCGCACGTCATCTCCTGTTCCCCTAATCTCCGCTGGGATCCTATTGGGGTGGAACATCACCAGCCCTCACGTGAGCCGGTGAGGGAACTGAATTTTTCAGAGATCGGTCTGGTGTCAACAGAGCTATGGACAGTTGACTCTTTAAGCGGTCTCCGGGTAATAAAGATAAGCCCTGTAGAGGACAGAGGGCGCTTATGCAAAGCAGTTAGGGTTGCCAGATTTGGGTTGGGAAAAACCTAGAGGTTTTGGGGGCGGAGCCCAGGGAGGGGAGGGGCTTCGGCAGGGTACGATGCCCTAGAGCAGTGGTGGAGAACATACCGCACGGGTGGCAGAGGGTGGGTGGCACTCAGAGCCCTCTCTGCGGGCACACGTGCCATCGCCCCAGCCAGGCCCAGACCGTCATTAACATGTCGAATTCTCTGCCAAATAATTTTAAATAAATGAAAGCATTTGGGATAGCTTTCCTTACTTTGTTTGGATCAGCACGAAGAGGGAGATTTCCAAATGTTAACCCGGAGGTTAAGCAAAACGTGGGCAATACCGTGCAAACAAAACCAAAGCACACAGTTCTAATATACCACTCTAGCTTCATTCATTCATTAAATCACATACTTATCGTATACAATAAAGTACACCTAGTATAACCTGGAGAACCGGAGAAGCCACACGGAGAATTTTCTGACTTGCGCACTGTAGCATTTGTGAGCTTTGGTTCCAGGATAAATAATTTGCTGGAAGAAGAATCTCTCGAAACGCACAATTTTTGCCTGGGAGGCGTGTTGCAGCGTCCTGTTTGAGAGCAAGACAGCCGGCATGACATTTGCCACGTCTCTTCTTTGAAGCAAATCTGTCACAACGTTGAACCTTGCCTGCGTATTCGTCTCTGTAACTTTGGGCATTTTCAAGATTGAATATTGTTATATTTATTGTATCTCTATACTGTTGTTGTTAATTATAATAATCAGGTTATACTAGGGTCTTTATTGTATATGATAAGCAGGGGTCATTTCCTGCAGGAGCGCACAGGAGCGGAGCTCCGGCAGTAAAGAGCCCAGGGGGCGGGCACATGCAACAAGCTCCACCCCCTGCTCCCAGCAGCCCTCAGTCAGAGCAAGAAGCAGCCAGGTAAGTTGCAGAGCCCGGCCCCCCAGTCCAAAACAGTCCAGTGGCACCTTTAAGACCAAGTTTTATTCAGGTACAAGCTCTCCTTCCTCTGCGAGGACAGATCTGCAGGTTCCTTCCCCCCCAATAGCTAGCAATCCAAAACAGTCCAGTGGAGCCTGAGTGATGGGTGTTGCCTTCTGACACACTTCCAGTGATGTCAGGGGGTGTGGCGTATGCAAATGAGTTATGCTAATGAGCTCCTGCACCTCTTTTTCTACGAAATTACCCCTGATGATAAGTATGATTTAATTAATGACGCTATAGTAGTATATTAGAATCGTGCCCTTTGTGTTTGCACAGTATTTTCCACGTTTTGCTCAGCCTTGTCGTGTTTCCCGTGTGTTTGTTGCATTTGTTGTTCTGCAGCATTGCAGAATGCTGCAGCCAGGCTGTTGATGGGTGTTCCTAGGGGGGCACACATCCAGCCTGTGCTGAAAGCGCTGCACTGGCTACCGACAGCATACCAGATTCGCTTCAGAGTGCTGGTTCTTACCTTTAAAGCCCTAGATGGCCAGGGTCCGACATACCACCGCCTCTCCCCATATGTTCCCCAACGAGCACTACGGCCCGGGACTAAACATCTCCTGGTGGTTCCAGGTCCCAAAGAGGCCAGACTAGTGGCGACTAGGGCTAGGGCTTTTTCGGGGGCGGCTCCTACCTGGTGGAATGAGCTCCCAGAGGAGATCCGGGCCCTGCGGGACCCTGCACAGTTCCGCAGGCCCTGCAAGACGGAGCTCTTCCGCCAGGCGTTTGAGTAGGAGCCGCCACGACTGTTACCATCTGTCTGTGACTACTACTATCTGCCCTAGCCCTTTATTACCAACTCGCCGTGAGCGCTAAAATGGTGGCACTGCGTGGAGCTGTGGCCACTAAGGATACCATCCCGATGACGTCATCTGTTCCCTTGTTAGTTGTTGTGGTGAACACTTATGTTTGTATTGAATGTTTTTAAAATGCAGTTTTAATGTTTTATGCATTGGGCATTGGCCCCATCTGTACGCCGCCCTAAGCCCGTTCGCGGGGAGGGTGGGTTATGAATTGATATGAATAAATAAATAACCTGGAGGCTGGCAAACCCTGAAGGCCGGTCTTCTCACTTTTATGTTGCTGTTTTGGGTTGCAGAGAAGCATCGGGAGATGGCGAAGGCGATGCTGCGGCGGAAAGGTGTGCTCGGGGGAACCACCCGGCAACAACCCAACCCGGCAGCCAAGAGGTCAAAGTCCTCCTTCCTTTATTATCCTCTGAATGGGGAATGGGGCTGGGGAGAGTCGCCCAGGAAGGACTTAGGGATGAAATAGAGAATCTCCGGCTGCCGAATGACCAGAGCTCACCGCTGTCGTGAGACAGACCATCACAGTAACTGATGCCCTTTAAAAATATATATTTTCCTTCATTTATAGTCTGCCTGTCTCCAACATAAGTGCGCAGACTCTGTTCTGGGAGAACCAGGTTTGATTCCCCACTCCTCCACTTGCAGCTGCTGGACGACCTTGGGCAAGCCGTAGTTCTGGCACAGCTGTTCTTGAAAAAGAGCCATTTCTGTCAGAGCTCTCTCAGCCCCACCTACCTCACAGGGTGTCTGTTGTGGGGAGGGGAAGGGAGAGGGAAAAGGACTGCAAGCTGCTCTGAGACTCCTTCGGGTAGTGAAGGGCAGGGTTTAAATCCAATTTCCTCCTCCTCCTCCTCCTCATTATTTATTTATTTAATTGATTTATGTCCCGCCTTTCTCACCCAAAGCGGCTTCTGCCGTTCTCCTACGCCTCCATTTTATCCCCACAACGACCCTGCGAGGTAGATCAGGGTGAGAGAGTCTGACCGGCCCAAGGTCACCCGGCGAGCCTTCATGGCACGAGTGGGGATTCGAACCTGGCTCTCCCAGATACTAGCCCAACAACAATCTTAACCACCACACTACACTGACAACCCCCCCCCCATTGCCCGCCCTACAGAGTGCGTGAGATGAATACTGCAAAGCATCTCTGTCAGTTGAGGTGATGCTACACAGGGCTCGGCGCCTTTCCTTGCCGCATCGTGCTGCTGTAGAAATTGCTACTGGGTGCGGAAGCGAACGTCCTGTGGATCTCTGCTCCTGCTTTTTAAAAAAAAAGTGTTAGTGAAATGGTACAGAGAGTGTTTCTGACCCTTTTTGGTACTTCAATGTCCTGTAAAGTATTTACAGCTCCACACGGATAATCCTTTTTATGTAGTGGTCTGCAGCTCTTCTCCCCTGTGGTACCCCAAAGGCTTTGTCACTTGATTTGTCAAGCAGTAAGCCTGCAAGGTGCGCCCACTTAAGCGGAAGCAGCTTTGCCCAAGGGACCTGTCCCAGCTGAACATCAGAGAAGCCCTGTTGGATCAGGCCAAAGGCCCATCCAGTCCAACACTCTGTGTCACACAGTGGCCAAAACCCAGGGGCCATCAGGAGGTCCACCAGCGGGGCCTGAACGCCAGCAGCTCTCCCACTGTTACCCACCCCCCCCACCCCCCAGCACCAAGAATACAGAACATCACTGGCCTGGACATAAGAATATCAGAGAAGCCATGTTGGATCAGGCCATTGGCCCATCCAGTCCAACACTCTGTGTCACACAGTGGGAAAAACCCAAGGACCATCAGGAGGTCCACCAGCAGGGCCTGAACGGCAGCAGCTCTCCCACTGTTACCCGCCCCCCCCAGCACCAAGAATACAGAACACTGGCCTGAACATAAGAATATCAGAGAAGCCATGTTGGATCAGGTCAGTGGCGCATCTGGTCCAACACCCTGTGTCACAGAGTGGCCAAAACTCAGGTGTAATCAGGAGGTTCACCAGCGGGGCCCGAACTCCAGAAGCCTTCCCACTGTTGCTCCCCCCCCCAAGCACCAAGAACACTGAGCATCACTGCCCCAGACATAAGAACATAAGAGAAGCCATGTTGGAACAAGCCAGTGGCCCATCCAGTCCAACGCTCTGTGTCACACAGTGGCCAAAACCCAGGTGCCATCAGGAGGTCCACTAGTGGGGCCAGAACTCCAGAAGCCCTCCCACTCTGGCCCCCCAAGCTCCAAGCAGGCAGAGCATCACTGCCCCAGACATAAGAACATAAGAGAAGCCATGTTGGATCAAGCCAGTGGCCCATCCAGTCCAACGCTCTGTGTCACACAGTGGCCAAAACCCAGGTGCCATCAGGAGGACCACCGGTGGGGCCAGAACTCCAGAAGCCCTCCCACTCTGGCCCCCCAAGCTCCAAGCAGGCAGAGCATCACTGCCCCAGACATAAGAACATAAGAGAAGCCATGTTGGATCAAGCCAGTGGCCCATCCAGTCCAACACTCTGTGTCACACAGTGGCCAAAACCCAGGTGCCATCAGGAGGACCACCGGTGGGGCCAGAACTCCAGAAGCCCTCCCACTCTGGCCCCCCAAGCTCCAAGCAGGCAGAGCATCACTGCCCCAGACATAAGAACATAAGAGAAGCCATGTTGGATCAAGCCAGTGGCCCATCCAGTCCAACACTCTGTGTCACACAGTGGCCAAAACCCAGGTGCCATCAGGAGGACCACCGGTGGGGCCAGAACTCCAGAAGCCCTCCCACTCTGGCAAACAAAAAGGCTTCAGGAAAAAAATGTGGGAAAACCGGTTTCCCCCCCGATTTTTTTCAGTTTTTCTCCGGGCTTTCACGTCTCTACTTGTAACTGATGGTCACTCATGGGCCTCTGCTCTGTATATTTATCCAGTATCCTCTGGAAGCTGTCTTATGTTTGTAGCCATCACCACTTCCTGCAGCAGACTGGGATTAGAACGTCAGCCTTCTGCGTCCAAATATAGTACGCTGAGCCCTGGACCCACACTATTCTCCCGGCGCCTTCTCCCTGCTGCATTCTCTTCCTGTCCTCCCAACCCCACCTGGCTGCTTCATGTTGACGTCTGCTTCTCTTCCTCCAGGTCGGTGAAGTTCAATAAGGGCTATGCCGCTCTCAGTCAGACCTCGGACGATACCCTGGTGTGCTTGGAGTCAGACAGGTGAGGGCTGAGCTGGGACCTCTTTGGGGCGTGGAGGTGGGGAAAAGCCAAGGAGTTCCCGTTAGGGGTGGTTCCCTGGTCCAGCACAAAGTCCTCTAACTTATTGGCAAATTGGAAACAGTAAAGGCAGGGACTGTGGCTCAGTGATAAGATGCTTGGCGTGCAGAAGGTCCCAGGTTCAATCCCCAGCATCTCCAGTTCAAAGGACCAGGTAGTAGAAGGTCCCAGGTTCAATCCCCGGCATCTCCAGTTTTAAAAAAGGACCAGGTAGTGGGTGACGGGAAAGACCTGGACCTGAGACCCTGGCTCAGTGGAAGAGCATCTGCTTGGCACACAGAAGGTCCCAGGTTCAATCCCCGGCATCTCTAGTTTTCAAAAAGGACCAGGTAGTGGGTGACGGGAAAGACCTGGACCTGAGACCCTGGCTCAGTGGAAGAGCATCTGCTTGGCACACAGAAGGTCCCAGGTTCAATCCCCGGCATCTCCAGTTAAAAGGACCAGGTAGTAGGTGATGGGAAAGACCTTGACCTGAGACTCTGGCTCAGTGGAAGAGTATCCGCTTTGCACGCAGAAGATCTCAGGTTCAATCCCCGGCGCTGAGAACTGATGCCAGTCTGCAGAGACAATACTGACCTCGATGGGCCATTGGCCTGATTCAGTATAAGGCAGCTTCATGTGCTCAGGATGCTAAGATCCCTGAACTGGATGGCCCAGGCTAGCCGGATCTCATCAGAACTCACAAGCTAAGCAGGGTCAGCCCTGGTTGGCACTTGGATTGGGAGACCACCAAGGAAGTCCAGGGTTGCTGTGCAGAGGCAGGCCATGGCAAACCACCTCTGTGCGTCTCTTGCCTTGACAATCCTACGGGGTTCACCATAATCGGGCTGTTAACTTGACAGCCCTTTCCACCACCACCAAGATACTAAGACACGTCCTGTGGCTCTCTTTGACTCTCACCGTTCTTCTAGTGACGGGGAGCTGGAATCCCGGTGTTCTTCTGGCTACTCCTCTGCAGAGGTAAGTCTGAATCTTTTCTGTAGGTTCGCTGGGGAAACTTTCCAGTCCGTATCTAAATTTTACTAGCGTTTAAATACTGTTGGCTAAAGGGGGCAAATACACCGTAGGGTAGGTCTTCGTTAACTTTTGATCTAGAAATAGCCGATAGTAGGTTTTATAAATAAGTAAACTATTTTAACTATTTTATTTATTTATTTTTATTTAACTATTTATTTATTTATTTAACTATTTAAACTAAACTCTAGTTCCAGCTCCTGCCAACCCAGCAGTTCGAAAGCAAGAAATTGCAAGTAGATAAATAGGTACCACTTTGGTGGGAAGGTAACAGCGTTCCGTGCGCCTTGGTGTTTAGTCATGCCGGCCACATGACCACGGAAACGTCTTCGGACAGCGCTGGCTCTTCAGCTTGGAAACGGAGATGAGCACCGCAACCCTAGAGTCGGATTCGACTGGCTTTCGAGCAAGGGAACCTTTACCTTTAAACTAACCCCATGATTCCACGCATTGAAACTACTCCTGTGCAGTTGCTCATCCTGTAATGGGTAAAAATCTCGCTTATCTAAGTGACAGCTTGGACAGGGGTCCCCAGCCTTTTTGACCCAGTGGGCAACTTTGGAATCCTGGCACAGTGCGGTGGAGGAAGCCACAAAATAGCTGCCACAAAATAGCTGCCGCAGCTTACCTCCATTCGCCCTGTGCAAATCTTTGTGCCGTGGCGGCAGTGCAGGATTGTTAAAAATCTACACGGCCAGTCAAATCTCCAGTGACCTGACCTGATCCTTGGGTAAAAACACTAGGCAGGCACCGGGAAAGGTGGCGCCCACGGACGCCGGGTTGGGGACCCCTGAGCTTGGGGATCCAGGGTAGCGTGCAGGTTTCGGTTAACAAATGCACATTGGAGTGAAGGGCTGTCTCCTTTCTCCTCCCCATGAAAGCCGCTGGGAAGATCCAGGTACAGCCCGGTCTGTCCCAGACAGCGAATTCCCTTGCCGGCCAGTGCCTTCACCTCCTCTTCCGTTTCCCAGGTGAACCAGGATCTCAACCGTCAGCTGCTGCAGGACGGATATCACCTGGATGAAGTCCCGGACGACGAGGACCTCGACCTCATCCCTCCCAAGCCCATCTCGTCCTCGCCTTGCTCCTGTTGCTTCGGGGAATCCGCCTCTTGCTCCATCCAGTGAGGGACGGCCTGGAAGGGCAACACGGCACAGGTCAAGACACCAGCACTTTTTTCCAGAGGGGGACTTGCGGGTGCCCGACAGAGGTCGTCGAGCCCGCCGTCAAAACACGGGTCAAAGCAGATGAGCAGGCAGGCAGAACGGGGCGTGTGCCGTTGCACCCTCTGGTTCTTCTGGGGAATGCCGCATCTCCCCTAAAACTATTTCTGCAGTACGCTCTCGGACTGCTGGGGGAAGCGGCCTGCCGGTTGTCTTGCCGAGGCTCGCCTCTCGGTGGGGAGGGAGCCGGCGGGAGAAGCGATCGGGGTCCGATCTTTCGGCGGTGAGCTGCCGGGCTCTCGTTTCGTGAAAGGAGGTACAGAGTCAAGGCAGGCTGGGACGCTTTATAAACCTTTGGAGTCGTGGGAAAGAAAGGCCGTCGCCTAGGATCCGAGTGAGCGCATTTTTCCTTTTCCTTTGCACTTCCAAACCTTAACAAGGAAGCAGCCCAGGTGCCGAAGTAATTGCAGGCGATGTGTCTTCGTAGGGTGGGGCAGGACTGGGAGCTTGTAGCTGGTTCCGCCCCGTGCTTTGGTAGCAGGCTCAGCAGGTGTGAGACAAGTTGGGCCTCCTTCCTCCTCCTGAAGCAAAAAGGGAATCTTGTTGACCGCGCTCCCCCCCCCAGTCTCCGTGAGCACCTGCAGCGGAGCGAATTGTCCGCTAGCTAGACCAGCGGGCTCTCCCTCGGGCCTCCGTGGTGGGAAGGGGGCGCTACCCACTCGCTTCACGACTCCGTGGCCGCTCACCCCCGCCTTCCTCCGTGGGGCCAGCCGTACAAGGCCATTTCTCACCTTCATGTTACCTCCAGGAAGCTTTATAATAAGGGCGAGGACCCTTTTCCGCCTGAAGTTAGTGATCCTGGGGGTCGAAAAGAACCCAGAGTTGCAGTTCATCCATCTTGGTTGCTTTTTACATAGCAATTCTTTCAGGCTGTTACCAGGATGCTAGGTCAGTTCTTTTCTAATCGACGAAGGATCGCGTTTTGGAGTGGGCTTTGCTAGCCATCAATGCTGCTTGCTTTCGCCCCTTTCCCCAGCGACTTTGCCTTCCGTTTTCACTAGGGCCGTCTTGTGCTAGGGGAGGAGAGAGAAGAGGAGGAACGAACACTTATAAAGTTCATAAAATGAAGTTTGAGTCCAGCGGCACCTTCAAGGCCAACAAAAGTTTGATGCTGGGTGTAAGCTTTCGGGTGCAGGTACAATTCTTCAGAGACACACGAAAGCTTAGGTCCAGAATTTGTTGGTCTTAAAGGTGCCAATCGGACTCAAACTTTGCTCCGCTGCTTCAGACCAACACGGCTACCCGCCTGAATCTAATATAAAGTTCATGTTTACTCGCCGTGTAGGTTGCACTGCTGGCTTCTGCCTTTGCAGATGACACTACAGCTTCGATATCTGGTGGAACGCCCCACCTCCCCTTTAAATTTCACTGACATTTGGATTTCCAAAACTGCCCCCATGCTGTCTGTCTCTAAGCATTCCGCGGCAGCCAAAGACCTGTCTTTCTCCATCCTGGTCTGGACAATCCCCATTAGCCGTATCTTGCCGAAAGAAAGGCCTGCCCATTTTGCGGCTGCAGGATCCCCAAACGGGCATTGTGTCCTTGCTCGGGCCAGCTCCACAAGAGGGTTATTCCTGGCGGGACGCCGAAGATCCCATTCGGGGTGCGCCAGCCATACCTCTCAAGGGTCAGAACGTCCTCTTGGGCGCTGCCCTGCAGAGGTACCCTTGCCCCGTCGCTCCGCCGGGAAATAAAGCCGCGAGCGATCGGAGGACGGGGAGACGCTGCCTTCGCAGCCCGTCAGTGCACGACGACGTCCTTTGCAGAGCGGGTCCCTGGTGGAGCCACTTCCTTATGAAGGCAGATTTCTTCTCAACGGCCTTTCGTTTTCTTATTTATTTGGGTGCTGCGTGCAGTGTTTTCTCCCGGTGGCTGAAGGCAGAGGCGCCACCAAACACTTTGAAGCTTAGTCGCAATAAACTTTAATAGATAAGTATTTTTTGGGAAGGGGGGGTGGGTGGAAGGATGTCGCGGGAGGGTAGGGATAACTGGGCCCTCCCCCCAGCAAGCTCTGCAGGTGAAGGTGTGAGCAAGGCTGCGGAGGTGGAGATGGGTGACTCGCTGTCCCCTTTGAGGAGGGACTGAAAAAGCTGCCTTAAAGATACTGACATGCACAGAGGACAATCTTACTACGTATTTAATACTATTATATATTAGAGGATTATCAGTTTTATATACGGTGATCAAGGGAAGCGTATCAATAAAACTGCCTTGTATCGCACCAACACGGTGTCTGTCTTCCTTGTTGTCCTGATAAATCATTTGACTGGGGAAGAGGGTCTCTAAAACAAGACTTGAGTCGAAGCAGAAGGTTTTCAAATAATATAATAAGGCCGTTGTGTTCTATCCGGGCTTCCCTCCCCCACTCCTCCAAAGAAAAGCATCTTTCCATATCTTTGGGAACTGCCGCATCTGTACCCATTCTTTAAAAGGACATATTGAGGGCAGGGATCCTGGATTCCCAAAAAGAAGAGATTGGATTTATACCCTGCCCTTCACTCAGAGTCTCCGAGCGGCTTACAAATCTCCTTTCCCTTCTCCTCCCCACAACAGACACCCTGTGAGGTAGGTGGGGCTGAGAGAGATCTGACAGAAACTGCTCTTTTTTCAAGAACAGCTCTTATCAGAACTACGGCTTGCCTAAGGTCATCCAGCCAGGTGCAAGTGGAGGAGTGGGGAATCAAACCCGGTTCTCCCAGATTAGAGTCCGCGCACTTAACCCCTACACCAAACCTAACTAGGGGTTGCTACCCCTAAAGCATTGAAAAACTAATTTGGACTTTGACAGGTGAGGAAAAAGCAAAATAGCTTAATTTTGTTAGCCTGATGTTTACTCTTAATGCATAACCCCCAAATAATGATATTTACACTATAGCGTTTATTGTCAACTAAGATATACAATTACAGCTAAATAAGTTTGTGATTGTTTGCTTTTTAATTTGATATTTTACAGTATTATCTCTCACGCTTTACTATTCTGACAGAAGAGATGTATCAGTAACTTCAAACTTTTGTAATAATGATCCTTGGTACTCTAGTTTTAGGCTGTACCCATCCCCCAACCCTGTAGTTTTAGAAAAGCAATAAACATTTATTTTAAAAAATATGATTGGTGCAACACGAGGACATCGCATGGAGCTCAGGAACTCTGTTGCAGTTTCATGAGCACTTGGGAGGCATTCGTGACTGCAC